CAGGCAAGGCTGAGCTCAGCTCCCCACAAAGGGCCAGCCAATCTGTGACAAAGCCATACAGCCAAGGACTGCTCCTGGCTGCAACTGTGCTCAGAACCCAGGGACAGGGGAAGCTGTGCTGAATACATCATACAGCCTGAGTCTGCATCATCTTATCCCGGGAACTCACATGGGCCGGGAAGGGGAACAATACCCATTCTCCTCACCCTGAGGCTGGGCCTACTCCACTTTGCCTATACAAGCACCACTGGTATACAACCCAGTGTAGACTGCAGGCCACACAGAGTGGTCTCTGCAGACTCTGGAGCAGTGGGGGATGGTGCCAAGGAGATAGTTGAACCCTCTTCTGCACACAATGGGGAAGACTGGTGTGTGGATAGATATAGGGGGACAATAGGGGTCTAAATATTGAACTTACTCAAATTGGCACAAGGCAAATAAAAGAAGGGGGAGTGACTGATATTTTGGTGTGAAGCTCTTTAAACAAGAACATTTTGGGGGTAATAACTGTAAATCTTATATCAGAAGGAAGGCTTTTAATTAATTTAGTAAAAAGAGTGACCTTTTAGAAAAAGATGAATGATGACAGTGGGAAAATGTCTTTAGTACTGTAAATTATTTTCACCTCTGTACCGCTTTCTTGCAAAGTCTTCTCTTGATAGACAGGAATTTGCAAATATACCTCCTTATTCAATGAGCTCACAACCCTATACTTTACATTTTACTTCTTAAATTATGCACAAGATAATGCAGGAAATATAGGCTCCAGTCCTACCCCACCTCCCTGCTCCATTAAAATCAATAGGAACATGAGCACAACTATATCATTTCTAAAGACATATAAAAACAATTGGACACAGAACTGGTAAATAGTCTGTATTTATGTTTGTCAATAATGCATGTAACATTTGAAAAGTAACATTTTTGATTGACAAATTAGTTTGCTTCCCTTTATGGAAGAAACTTTTTTACAAGTTTATTAATGTTATCAGATGCACAATTTATCTGAATTCCAGCACATAGGATTCCTTTTTATATATATACACTCACCATTTCCCCACAAAACAGTTATTAAACTATTAACAAACATTTTGTTTCAAAATGTGGCAGTTGCACAAAAGAATATCTGGCTATAGACAGATCCTTAAATTTTAGAGAGAAGGTACTGTGAACAAAACAGTACTGGAGACCCAGAACTCACAAGAATGTGATAACTGTAAAATAATCTGATCAATTGATCTGAGGTTTCCTCTTTATTTCAAACCCTCCAGTCACAAATCTTTTATTGGTGTATTTTAGGAATGTTAAATGTAATCCATTAGACATGTACAATTGTTTTCTCATGTGAAGTGAAGTTATTCACTGATAGAGTTTTAGGGAAAAGCATATTAATTTTATGTTTCAGATTTTTTTTAAAAAACAGGAAACAAATTAAATCTCCACCCCCCACACACCACCCCAAAAAAACCTGTGTGCAATAAAACTGGCTTTACCTCAATTGCTCTCAGAGCCATGGAAAACATACAGTATGAGCAGAAATCAGATATTTTCCTCCATTAGAATTAGTTTTCTGAGATCCTTCAGTTCTAGGCATAATCATGCAGTCTCCTTCCTTACTGTCATAAAATGCACTGATGAAAATACTTGTGGTTAAAGACTGGCCCTGTTCCATGCTGAAGTTCAGGTTTTAATGATCAAAATGCTGCTCTCCTTGATGTCCCACTTAGAATTTTTGATCCCTGTCTTACGAACAATTTTAGGACAGAATATCTTAATGCAACCCCTTTGCTGACGTAGCAGCAAAATATTCCTGAGAATCAGCAGCAGTGGGATGGCTGGGAGGACACCTCATTGCTATAAACATCATCTGTTTTTTGACTATGAAAACAGAGCATTTCCTTTTTATTGAGGAAACTAAAGGAAAATCTACAGTATTAACAGTAGCTATGTTTTCTTTCAAGGCTATTCTGCACAGCCATCAACTTTAGTTATATCAGCGTATATCAGACTAAACTGGTGGGTTCACAAACTGTATTCATCCTGGTAGGAAAAAGATATCTTCAGTCAACTAGAAACTATCTTTGTTATATATTTTATTACAGTGAGTTCCATGGCAAACTAGTTGAAAGTGAAACCTAACTGCAATGTTTCATATTTATGTTATTGATTTTTGCCCTATGGTATGAAAATAATATTCTTAACAGATCGGCCAAATCTTCCTTCTTTTACTTGAGTGGAAACATTTGTTTTGCTTAACGATTTGGCCCTATATTTAAACATTCTGACAGGTGGCTGAGAAACTAATTTCTGGTTTTGCCTTAGCATAGCTAAGAAATGTAATGTAGCAAAAATCTGGAAAGGACAAATTATGATGCACTTTAGAACTTTACCTTCACAATATCTGTGTCTTTAAGATCTTCATAAAAATATATTTGTTAACTTGCTGGTTTTACAAAATTTACATTCTTTTAATAACAAATAAAAAAAAAACAAATAAAAGCCCAGCCCTTTTCACAAATACTTAATCAATTTAGTTAGATCTCACATATCAGCAACTGTTTCTAGATTATAAGCAGGACTTGTAAAAATCTGTTTTTAGTGAACTTTTCTTCAAACTCACATAGCTTTTTTATGGTAGAGAGTATTTATATCCATACTCAGATACAGTATAGTTTATCCCAAATGTTCAAAAATCATGAGCCAGGACCCCCAAAAAAGTAAGATTAGCTTAAAATCAGGAGATTTAAAAAAATAATAAATTTGATGATTTATTTACTTGCTAGCTAGTTTTTGAGTCTTTAGAATACACTTGGGGCACATTTCTAAGGTTTCCTCCACAACCATGAAGGCTGAAAACTTACTTTTTTAAAAGACAAGACCTGAGTCTCACATAATCTCATGCCTCTGAGAGCTGGGGTTTAATAAAAACACCAACTATTACGAGAGTTGCACTAAATCACAAGAGTTGGTGACATATTATATGTAAGGTTCTCAGCTGGTATAAATCATTGTAACTTCATTAAAACCATGTATCTAAAACAATCCTCCTCCCCACTATGGATATGCCTCCATGGGAGCTGGAAGTGTACTTCCCAGCACAGATTCACAGACACACTAGCTCTGCTTGTGCTAGTGCAATAAAAAGAGATGTGAGGCCACAGCAATTCAGGTTAGCCCCTTTATGTATGTACCCAGAGGGTTGGTCAGGCTTGTACTCAAGCAGTTAGCCTGAGCCGCTACCTGTGCCACCACAACCACAGTGCTATTTATAGCATGCTATTCAAGCTGAGCTAGCATGTGTCAGCCTACCCACTGCTGTGTAGACCTACTTTGAATCTGAGCATGTGGTATGACAAGCATAGGAGTAACATACTCTAGCTCATGATCCATTGATTTCTGGGGCACTGAGTCTTAAGCACATGATTAGTTTCATTTAAGCAATGTGACCATTCATGTAGCTAAAGTAAAGTATGTGCTTAAGTGCTTTGCTGGACTGAGCCTCAGTCAGGGCCATCAAGAAGAGAGGACTGGAATCTCCTCTCACATGCACTAGTTTAAGTCAGTAGAAACTCCATTGAAGGCAACAAGTTTACACCAATATAAACATGAGAAAGATCAGGAGCATAGTCAAAATTGGGATGCAAACAAACATAAAATCAGCCAATTTTTGTTTGCTTGCTTCAATTGAAGGCTTTGAATTTAAATAAGATTTTTTTAATTTTGAAATGTAACCTAAACATATCTCCAAACCCAGACAAAATTATTCCAGACTAGTTGATGTCTACGAACCCTAGTCATAAGGTACAATTGTAGAACAATGCATGAAACAAGTAAAGCGAGAAGGTAATGGCTTTGGACCTTATAGCAAGTCAGATTTATTTACCATTGTCTGACGTTGTGTGTTGCGGGAGGGACTCCAGGGGACAGGGAGATGGCAATCTGTATCACAAAACATGTTTTTCCATCTTCCCATCGTTGAATGCAGGACTGTACTGGTATCATCAAAATGTGAAGTCATCCTCTGTTTCGTGAAGTTACTATTTACTAAAGCAAGTGAAAATTTAGAGCTGTGAACTTCTTCACTCAAAATTTTCAGATCAGATAGACTGATTTAAATGATCTCTTAATCCTACTCCCATTAAAATCAACTATGTGGCATTATAATGAGTTTGCTGGCATTCCTGGTCATGGAGGCTCTGAGAACTGCAACCAGCCAAAATAGCCAGAAGGACATGCATCTCCTCTTTCACGGGCAATTAAATGTGTTGAAGTTAGAGAGGGAGACGGAGCATTGAGACTTGACTGTAGTACATTAAGGGGCAATAGGGAATAAAGCTATGTTGGAATAAATCCCCGAGTATCTGTCTAGTTATTGGAGTCCAGTGCACTGTTTGCATTGCTTTAGTGAAAGTAGAGTCAGCACTATTTGCAGAGGTTTAGAATCTGCCTTTTCACTTATCCTTGGTGTGACTTAGACCTAGACAGTGATTCTCAAACTTTTGTACTGGTGACCCCTTTCACATAGCGAGCCTCTGAGTGCGACCCCCCCCATAAATTAAAAACACGTTTTAATATATTTAACACGATTATAAATGCTGGAGGCAAAGCGGGATTTGGCGTGGACGCTGACAGCTCGTGACCCCCCACATAATAACCTCATGACCCCGTGAGGGGTCCTGACCCCCAGTTCGAGAACCTCTGACCTAGAAGTTCTTGGTGATTTGGGGAAAGAGAATGTGTTCAACAGTTTTCAATATGCTGTAAGAATGTGAATATAAATGTAACAGTAACTATTTTTGTCTCCAATTCTATCCCATTCTGTTATGTTTATTAAAAGGTACAAACACGTTGTATCTATAATGGGACCAGGTCCATTGGTTTCTTTATGTTCCTTTTGAAATCACTATTATACAGGTAATTTGGGAATATTTTACAACACAATACAAATGATCATAGTGCACACCTCAATAATAAAAATCGTGGCACATACTACTGATTGATAAATAAATACTAAGGATTAGTCACTGCCCTTTATTTGCATGTAAAACTTTTTTTGCCATATGGCCCAATGAGAACCTTTAGGACCATAACAATCTATTAAATACAACAATTGATGTTAAACTTTGACACAAACAAATGAGTGCCAGAAAATTCAGAAACTCAATATTATATGGTACAGCACAGCCCACAGCAATGTTCTCTAGTCCTACCTTCTGGGTATACAAATATTTAATTATATCAGTTATTTATAGTTTTGTTTTTAGCTTTGGCAACCTTCTTCCAATACATTATAAGAATGATACAAGATATAAAGGACAAAAATCCATCACACATTCATCAGGGCTCCATTTAGTAAAAATCTGGCTCCATGGCTTGGCAACTTTTTTAGTGCTTAATCAAGATTTTGTAATGCTTAATCAAGATACATTTCTTTAAATAGCCTTATAAAATTGCAAGCTCTGGCTTTTTGGACCTGTCTCCTGCCAACACACATGTAAGATACTGTATATAATTAGTAATGGTGAAATCAGGAGGAATCCATTGAATCTTGTCAAAGAGACACCTGGAGTTACTATGAAAAGGACCAGAGAATGGATCTGAGAAGTTGAGTGACAACAATTTTGGCTGCCAAATGTCCAAAAATAGCTAAACGCAGGCTAGAACTCTGAGGAAGTGAGCAGAATTTGATCCAAAGTTGAAGAAATGTTGACTTTGACCATAAAGAGACATACCTGCCTATCAGAGTTCAGATTTATTTTTTTAAGCAAAGATAAAGACTGCAGATTAACCCAACTTCTTAATAGCCATAGTGAGGAGAAGGAAATCTCAATTTTGAGAATCACATTTAGGCCCTCCAGACTCAGAGTTCTGTACTCTTGATCATTTCTCTGCAGCAGGCACTCAAAGATTCAATACCAAAGTATTCTAGGAACTTGCTGAGCTTGTTTGTTCTTCATACTGGATGCTGATGCCAGATATGAACCATTCCATTGTAGTGGAGGCAAGATATTGTTTCTGGTTGATAGGGCTCTTAAGTTAAACTCATTGTCTGGAGAAAAATCTCTGCCACCTACTGGAAAGCAGAAAGTATGAACTGGTGTCTACACACCTTGAAATAAAAGTTAAAAACTGATCTTAGATAGTAATAATTCAGCTCAACAGGAAATTGTAAAAAATTCCATTATCCCTTTTGGAAACTAAAGTAATGTTTTAAATGTAAATATATTAATATTTTAATCCTATTAATTGTTTGGGAGGGGTGTATATATAAATAAGCCTATAATAATTTTTAATCAGTTTAATTGGTGTTTGTAAAACATCTATCATCAGTGGAACACAGAACCCAAGGTACTTTAAATAAAAACAGAGAGTTTGCATTGGAAACAGAGCCTAAAACTATCATAGCTTTAACTCAAACATATTTTTTATTAAAGTATGAATGTATTTATGCTGGAGAATAGTTTACATACATTGGAAAGCAACAAGCATATTTTCAAGAGCCGTGGGTTCTCCTCAACATGTCTCCATGCTCAATCTACATGCTTTTAACACAGGCATACATATGCTCTCTCACACAATGTGTATATATACACACATAAAACACAGACACATAGCTTTCTTTTAAGGCTTCTGTAAGGTGCCCTAGTGCCCCTACCATTACCATGATTACGAACAAGGAGCAGCATTACCTGCAAACTATTCATCTGCTCTTGGCCTTAAAAACATTTAGTGAACCAAAAGTTTTGTTTTTATTTGATTTTTTTTTCTGCCTTTACAAAAGTTATGAACCTTTTTGTCCGTGGACCAGGAAAAGTGCAGGATATCTTAATGTGAACTTCTCAATCATTTCAGTACAAACCAATCATTTCAAACCTGACTCTAAAAGGACTAGTGCCTTTAATTGTCAGAGACACTTTGCTATTATGGTAACACACCCCTGGCTTTTGTGACCCAGGAGTACCAGCTACATCAAATTATATATACTAGGTTGGTGATGGAGACTACTGTGGAGTTAAGGCTACCATGTTCATATAACTTCAGACCTGAGGTGGATCATAAGTCCCAGTTCAACTGGTGAAAGACCACGGGTCTTAGCAACAGGTCACTCAACTCTCAGCAGAAATAATGGAGCTGGTTCACTGTATTACCAGCCATCATGGATTTTTTTCCCCCTTTTTGGTATCCTGGAAATTGTATTTAATGGTGCTTGGTGGGAGACGAGTGGCTGCAGGTACATTAAGAAAATAGACAAAATGAATAAAATAAAGGATAGCATATGATATAATGTGTAAATATAAGCATCTTTTTAAAAAATTGTGAAATGTGAATAAACTGCAGAATGTCAGGCCATTTGTCAAAAAGCTTATGAATGGCTGTTTCAGCCTAGGTAAGGTCAAAGGATTTTGCAATAGGACATTGAAAGGGATTCGTTTTTCTGAACCAAGGGGCTCCCTTTTCCACTTGCTGCTGCATAGCAGCATCAGATCCGAGCTATGAATCCCAGAGAATCTACTATTAAAATTGCTTGATGGATTTCATAAGGCAAACTGGACTGAATCAACTTCAGGTTGTACACCTGAACTATACTAGGCTATAAAGATTAGATGGTGCATGGGTTGGGGAGGTGAAATGGGGGGGAGGGCAGGAAAGGGGGAAGCTTTTTCTCACATTTACAACAGCAGCAGATTTCAATGTAACATAATTACTTTAATGATGCATATCTTTAGGTACTGATTTGCTCTTTTGATTTAAAAAGCTGGTGAGCCAAGTGTTTGGCCGTCTTTTAATTCCAGATATCAGTTGTTGCTTATTCATCTATCAGCTCCTATTCCCTAGGCAATTTCTGCCCTTGCTGTACCATCAATGGGTTGAGTCAGCCATCATCAGATTCGAATTCATGAGACACTTCCTCAGATGAGCTATTCCTGTGGATCCGGCCATCACTCTTCATGCTGTGGAAAGTCTTCTTAAAGGCCTCCATCATGGCATGAGCCAGCTTCTTGGCCTCCAGCTTGCTCTCACACTCTACAGCATGGCAGTCCATCTGATAGGACAAGTCATCGTTGATCTCCCTGTAAACCCAAGCAAAGATGTTTGGGCTGACGTTGTGGTCGGCAGTGCAGTAGGCAATACGTGCCACCTGAAAGGTATCCATGTGGACTGTGGCTTCGCCTTTGTGGTCCAGGTGATGAAGCCAGACTTGGAAGGGGCGGATTTCCAGAAGGGCATTGGCTGGGAAGACGTCCTCCCTGGCTAGTGTGTGCTTCTTCCATAATTCAATGACAGGTTTTTCTGTGCAGCCTGATAAAAATTGCATCCCTGTTGTGGACACCTTACCCAAATATGTAACCTACAAAGAAAAAGCAAAAACAGATGTGATATCAACCATAGTCTTTGATATTCATTTCTACCATCCCGTGAATGGAGTTCTTTACCTAGAACGATGGATTTATGTCTACACATTCAGATGAAGTTTTCTGATTGACAGCAATTGATTTGCCTCTCAGAACAGTATTTTTAGTCATTCATGCTGGGATTTTCAAGGGAGTTAGGAGCCTCTCACTGAATTTCAGTATATTTTGGGCAACTAACTCCCTTAAGCTTCTTGAAAATCTCCGCCTTAAAGCCTAATGCTGCAACTCTCACTCATGCTAGCAGTCCCAATACAGCCAATGGAACCGATCATGCAAGTATGATCAATAGGATCAGACCCACAGGCCAGATAACTGGACCATGGTGCTTACCCACAGTGTCTTATGTTCATGTTATTTTTGTTAAATACATTTTAAACAGTAGTTTTACTTACATCAAGACATACACAGAGTATAATAATGCAAGAACACAATGTGGTCGGAAGAGCATGACCACAGCAGATAATAACAAAACTATTCTAATGCATTTTCCAGAGTGATCTTGTTTATGTTTCTTCCACTGCTTCTACTTAAGTAATTATCCAAAAATATGTAGAAACTATTCAAAATGCTACATCTTCTATTGTTAGCTAAAGGGCTGAGGCATTTACTCCTTCAATTTTATAGAAAATGTGCCATTAAAAACCCCACAGTAATAAATCTAGCTTAGTTTAATCACACAAACTCTTTCTGCTTTAGTGTCTAGCTCCCTTGGGTAAATATTAAAAAATAAGAATCCTGTTATCCAGTCTATATAGGAAAATGATGAGCCTTGACTAAAATTTGTTTCACATGCCAAAATCTAACTCATTATACAGCCCAAATGAAAATTCTAAATATAGCATACGGGAAAGAATCAACGCACCTAGATCTTTATAGATCAAGAAACATTTCTCAATTATATTTTGAATGGAGCTTTTATTAACTGGGAAAGGTTACATTTTAGGATAGTCAATACCATTAAAATATAATTTATACATAGTATTACCCTCTATCACTGTTGTCTGCAAGTTGCATTTAAGAACAAGTATTATAAAAATAAAAGCAAAATTACTTTGTCCAATTTTAAACATAATGCACATAAGACTATAATAGATCAAGCAAATGGCCCACTATCCTGTCTCTGACAGTTACCAGTACTAGACACATTTGTAAATAATCATGTACACTGTACAATTTAATTTCTATAAAATGTAGTATTATATCAAATATATTTATTTTTTATCTAAGTTTAAAAAAAAGGAAAAAATTAGATTTTCACGTTTAAATACATTCCAGATAAAGCTGCAAGGAATACTGAATTTACATTTCATACAAAGCAAAAATCTTCAAAAATAATTCTGGGTTTTGCTGCAAGTTTTGATAAAGCTACTCAGAGACCTAAATTAGGCTATGATTAAAAAATAAGGTTACAAAATAGTGTGGCTTAATCATGCCTGCCAAACAAGCAATTTCATAACAGACATTTCAGGACAAAAAGTTTTTTTCTTCTCCAATAAATGTTCATGGTTTCCATTGGGAATATTTTAAATCTTATAAAACCTTTATATTTATCCTAACAGTGAGAATCACAACAGCTAGAACTGTTAAGAAGGCAAGTCCTACTGGAGCTTTGTTTTGTTTTATTTTATTTTATTTTATTGTACTAGTGAGGAGAAGGTAAAGTAACTAACAGCTCATAGCACAAACTGTACTCATATAAATAGTACATAAAAGACCAAGCAGCAGTTTGACCGCAGTGTACTATGGAGTAGTTCATCATGTATTCACAGGCATATTTCTAGTAAAATAATAAAATAAATGTGGAACTCAGCATGTTCACAAACTATTCAATATATTCTCTTAAAATCCATTATGTTCCATTTAAAATTCACAAATCAGTTAACAAAAGATTAGCACATTGTAAAGAAGTTTCACGTTTGGGGCCTGATCCAAAGCCCATTGCTGTCAAAGTGAGTCTTTCTATTGACTTCGATGAGGTTTGCGTCAAGCTTTGAAAACACAAAAAGGAGAGTAAGCCTTCTGCTTATACACTTTGTCCCAGCCAAACTATTGCCCTGAATTCTACTTTATAAGTGGGATCCTGACACAAATTCTCTGGCTTTGCCTTTCCAAGTTTTTGCTGGTTAGAGGACACTGATATTGCTTGCTAATGTGAAGAAATGGAGGCACTGACAGAATAAAAACACTGACTGGGGGTCACCTTTTTATATATATTTTGCCAAGTGTCAACTCTAAAATATGTTGTAAGTATTGTGCAGGCGCGTATTGCAAGCTGAAGAATTTGACTTATTTGTCACAGGGAGGGTAGCAGGATTGACTTTTCTCACATTCACTGAGCACATACAAGCTGTCTAGATTTTTCTGTTTGTTCTGACCAATCAACCTCCCGCAACACCTTCTCTGCCACTAACCATCTGCTTTATCTCAGTATATACAGTACCTAAATGTAAAGTCTAAAACAACATTTCCTACAGGAAAATATTCCACATAAACTTGTGAGAAAGCTGGGTGTGCCTGCATGGAAGATCTGTGAATTACTCTGAAAAACAGAAAATGTCAACAGCAATAATGATTGAGAGGAAGGATGGGGCTTGTGGCTAAGGCACTGGAATGGGACTTAGATGATCTGGTTTATATTCCTAGCTTGGACACAGACTAACTGTTTGACCTTTAGTAAATAATTTCATTTATCTATACTTCAAATCCCCATTTTACAGACAGGGAATAATACTTTTCCCCCATGAAGATAAATTGATTGGTATTTATGAGGTTCTAAGTTACTACAGTGATGAGCACCATAGAAGAGATTATAAATAAATAAAACTTTACCCTTTAGATTCACAGTTCTTCTACATTTATTTTTAGAAAAACATTGACCTCTAATAATGTAGTTAGACTTTTAACAAGCAACCAGATTTTTCCCATTTGGTGCATGAGTATTACATTAGTACAGGACATTTTATTGAAGACAAATTACAATATACATCATTACCTCAGAGTCCCCTCTATTAGATATAGAGCAGAGATGCAGAAGGCTGGCAAGAGTTCTTGAATATCGGACACACAAAAAGTCATCATTCTTTTCAGAACATAAAAGACCTCTTTATAATTAAATGCCGTCTAAGTGTTGTACATTAGATATTAAACCTTCTGGAGTAGCCATTTTAGTAACCTGCCCATTAATATCTGCACAATTGCAGGTATTGAGCCAACAAACTAAAACTGGCAGAGGATGGATTTATTATGCATTCCTCACTGGGTTCTCAGTTACAAGATATTCCACAAGTAAGGTTACTGTACATTGGCTTCTACCACCATTTAATTCTCATTGCAGACACGTGCTTTATAACATGCACCTCACTTAAATACACAAAATCGGCCCAAGCACATTGTATCTAATATCTGTATTCTGTAACGACCATTTTTCTTTTTCCAACTTCTTTGAATTCACTGACCGAAGATCAAAGAACAGATCATCCCATCCAGGATGAGATGCAGAGGGGAACAAGTTTAGGGTACAAACCATAAAACGTGGGGAGGATTAGAAGGACCCTCAAAAGGAATCATCTTCATTTCCCCCAAAGCCACAGATGATCCTGAAATGTGAATGCACCAGTGGCCACTCAACACAATCTGCTGCTGTTGGCAAAACTTCAGTGTGCTTCCCCTATGGGTGAAGCCATGTTCAGCGGGCAGAACTGTGTGGCACAGTGGGTGGAGCGCTATTCAGTGAGCATGGCTGTGTAGTATCAAGGCCGAGCTCTATGGTAAAGCAGGTATGGCTGTATGGTCCAGTTGGGGGCTGTGTGGTACAGTGGGTGAGGTGCTCTGAAGTGTGAGTGGGGCTATCTGGTAGAGTTCTGGAGGCTCTGTGCAGAAGAAGGGCTACCCCTGGTATAGAGGAGGAGCTCTGTGCAGGGAGCAGTCGAAGGGAGTGTGTGTGCCAGTGACAGGGATAGCTCTGGGAGGGCAGCATTTGCAGCAGCAGGAAAAGACAAAGCCATGAGAATTTTAAAAAAAATCGCTTCTCCCAGAAATCTGCTACCCTAGTTTGCTGCTGTTTAGTTTGCCAACAGTTAGAGCAGCCCCTGACCACTACTCTGCTGTGGCTTTTTGGAGGATTTTTGGATGGAGCTAGAGAGGCAGCTGCTCTATGTAGCAACATGCACAGAATTTCCAGTGGTTGTACAGTAACAAACAGGCATGTCTGAGAAGTCATGTAAGAAGGAAAATATATACACATCCACCCCAAATACTCCCCTATTGTATATGTAACGTGGCCTACCATGGTAGAAATGTTACAGGTTTGAATTTTCTAATTTTTATGTGCTCAACCATTCAACTCGGTATTGCATTAAAATGGCTTCCAGCTTCAGCCATTTGGGATACATGGGACTGCAGACGTCATTCAGAACATATGGGGAAACTGTTTCCTTCCACATTCCCATTTCAGCTGAACCAATTTTTCCTTAAACTTCCCAAGATAGATAATCTTTGGGCTGAGATCAAGTATGCGGTAATTTCCATCTCAGTTCCTTTCCCATAAATATTTCCCTCTTTTGCATTCAGAACCCACCACTTAATTGTCAATTATGTTCTTTCGTTGTTGTTCTTATTGTAAACAGCCCTCTTTGCCTTTACAGCTTTCACTCAGATTTCGGTGAAAACACCATATTTTAAAGATTATTCATTCAAAAAGGCACAAAACATAAATGGATAAAAGGAAATACTTTCCCACCCACACAGTATATTTACCTTGCATAATTCACCATCATGGGATATTACTGAGAAGCACAATTTAACAAGATTCAAAAAGAGCATTAGATACTGGATCTGATTCTCCTCTCACACTGGTGGGAATCAGCAGTAAGTCCAATGAAAACTGATGCAAAGTGAGAAAATAATAATTTCTTCTGTACTTGCATGCATCAAACAT